TGAATCGCTGTGATTTATAGCGTGTATTATAAAAGTTGTTAAGTTTAAAGTGACGAGAAACGTATTGACTGTGGAATTACTATGTACTAAAAGTTTGTATCGAGAAAGATACAAACTTTAATCAATAAAGGACTTGTATCACTGAAGTTCCTCGGAAAGAATTTCTACCGGAAATTAAAAAACAAGCAGATACGTAACAATATAATAAGTTTGGATACAGTTGGACAACTGAGTTGGTAATCTGGGTAGATTAGTGAGTTTCTTAATAAGAAAGGTAGTAGTAATTTTTTGTAATAAATGCTGTGGGTAGCTGTTATGTTTTAGAATGTCCAGTATGAGAAAAATTTCTGACTGTAAATTAAGGTACGTGGAACACAGGTTTGTTTAATAAGCATTTTACAATATTTCTTTTGTACATGAATGGGGTAAATCTGTCAAATTGTATAAGGAGTCTAGTACACGTCTATTTTCTATATATTGATGTACCAAATCTGCTAGTGTTGTGGTTAATAAGAATGTCTAAAAAATGTAAATTATTATTATTTTCAGTCTCGCAAGTGAATTTAATGGCAGGATGTTGTGAGTTCAGGTATTCTAAAAATTTTGAGCAGTGAAGTATATTGTGAAACGAACAAAAGTGTCGTCTGCAAACCTTCTTTAAAAGATAGGTCTGAAGTCAGTAGGGCAGGTGTCGAGCCATTTCTGTTCGTGAGAAATATATTAGTTAACATTTGACCCAGCGGGTTGTCCATCGCTATGTCATCTATTTGTTCAAAGAGAGTGTTGTTGAATAGGAAATGTAAATTCTTGGTTGTAAAGCCCAACAAGTTCTTAATTCGAGGTCCAGCAAGGTCATTCAGCGAAATATCTTTACATGAAAGATGTTCAATTATTCCATTTATAGGTATATTTGTAAAGAGGGAAGTAATATCAAACTAACCATAAAGTGGTTTTTGGAGGGGGGTGGGTTGACATAATTCACTTGCAAAGTGGGAAGACTGAGAAAATGTGAATTCTTTGGTAGTGAGTGGCTGTAGTAGAGGTACCAGGAATTTCACAAGTTTGTAAGTGTGCTTCTTGAAGGCTGAAAGAATGGGTCGGAAAGGTGCCTGCTTTATGAATTTTAGGAAGACCATATAAGATACCACGACGTGAGCCTGTTGAACAATGAGGCAGCAATATTTTCGGATACGATATTTTTTGTTTTTAAGTTTTCTTGGATATCTTTGGATTTTTTTCCTCACGTTCAATGTTAAGGGATAAAGAGTCATTGTTAATGGATTTTAAGTTTAGTAGAGTCGTTAAGAATAACTCGCATTTTGCTCAAGCAGTAATTTTTGTTAAGAATAACGATAGCACTGCCTTTGTCGGGCCGTGTAATGTGAATATTTTTATTTAGTGACAATTCTTTTAAAATGATATTTTTTCAGGGCTTAGTGGGTTAAGATTTCTCTTAGCATTGAAATTATAAAAAGTAAAAAAAAGGAAATATTTTTATTTTAGTAATGAAATTATCACTGAATTGAACAATAGTTCCTTTATTGTACATAGGAAGGTCTTTTATTTTTCTGTATAGCAAATCGAAAAGGTAAAGAAAATTAGCCAAATTCAGTTTATGTGGTGGAAGAGAGAAATTAAAACTTTAAGCTAGGGTGGATTTACACTGATTATTTAGTGTAAAATTACTTAAATTAACAATCAGGTTCTCAAGGTCAAAGCTGGCGGGAAAACTGATGGTCAATTTACACAACTTCAGATTTTGAACATGTTCATGTCGGGAATATTTTTCGTCGTTGCAGTTGCGTTGGCTTCAATTGTTTATTACAAACTCGTTCTTTTTCCTACTATTTATAACCAAAATAAATAATTTGCACATCGATATTCTGGATTGAGGGTAGTGTCTTTAGTTTCCTTCTCAATACTCAATAAAGCAGGCAGTTATCTTTGTATGCTTGTACAGTATACCTCTAAATTCCAAACATCCTAGAAGGATAACCAATATTCAAACACCTAAGATGTTTATTGGATCGGCTCCGAACCATATACCGTAATAAACGTTTTCATAGATTCAAAGTGCAATCTTATTACCCTGGGGAATTTTCGTTGTAAACACTAGTATACATTAGCTGACAAGTTCCACATCGTGTTCTCGGAGCAGGGGGTCAAGTCGGCTTATTTCTGTGTGAGTGTTACTTTGCTCTCAAGAGTATCGTATTAGGGTGTCACATAAATAGATTTATACTTCAGTCGTTGACAGTAGAATATAAACAGAAAATAAATGTGAAATGTTTAGCAGTTCAAACTCTGAAAAGAAGTACTTTGAAATTTTGTGATCAATAATAAATAAAGAAGGGCACAGCTAATCCACAATTGAGACATCCTTTTGACAATGCTCCATGTCATGACATGTGCAACTTACGAACGTCCTGAATACAACAAACAAAATGGTGGGGGAGGGGGGTTAAAATTCCAAAACTTAGTACGATCAATAGGGAAACCAGCTTTGCGTGGCTCATTTGTGATATTAAGGGCACCTTGCTATAGAGGGCATTTGGAAGCAGTCTGAAAATTGCCCTTAATGTCGAGGTTCTACTGTAGATGAGTGTAATCAAAAACTGCTAGAGATGCTTTGAAGAGTGGACATGTACAGTAGTGTAGATGTTGAGCCTTTCAATAAGCTGTATGTATTGTCAATGTTTCAGTCAAAGTTCTTGATCCAACAGCCTCTTTTGACAAATCCGAAAAGCTGACGAGTTTTACAAATTTCGGTTTGATAGTTTAAGTGGAGAAATTTCGGAATAACATGTCAGAGTTTACATTCTGAAAGGAAACAAATGTTAAGGTTGACTTTTTTCAAAGTTAAAGTCCTATTTTTTACAGGCATGGTATACTTGCAGCGATTCATTTCCATATCGTCGAATCAGGACATTTGCAATCGATGTGTTCTGAGGAAAACTAAGTTTCGCAATAAAAAAGGATAACAATACTTAAGATGAACAACATTGTTTATTTACAACAGAATGGGACACAGATAAACTTTTCGCCATTCTACACATTGTTTTAACTTAGCGAAGACAGGCTAAAGAAGGAAGAACAAGAGTAACAGTAGAAGTGGTAAGATAGATTGTTTCAACGTATGAGAGGCAGCTTAACATAGGAAAAAGAAGAAGAGTGACAGGTGAAGAGACAGAATAGATTGTTTAAACACATGAGAGACAATCTGACAGTGGAAGAAAAAGAAGAAGAGTGACAGGTGAAGAGACAGAATAGATTGTTTAAACACATGAGAGACAATCTAACAGTGGAAGAAAAAGAAGAAGAGTGACAGGTGAAGAGACAGAATAGATTGTTTAAACACATGAGAGACAATCTAACAGTGGAAGAAAAAGAAGAGTGACAGGTGAAGAGACAGAATAGATTGTTTAAACACATGAGAGACGATCTAACAGTGGAAGAAAAAGAAGAAGAGTGACAGAATTGGCAGAGTAAGATGCATTAACGTAAGAGAGCTAATGCATTGGATCTACTTATAAGTAACACTTTTTAATATTTAAACGTTACGTACGTTTCAGTATTTCTTGTTGGACTATTCTGGTATCTAATAATCTTATATTTTAGAAACACCTGACACTTTTGTATTTCAGTTTTCTTCATAAACGCCACTTGTAATTTAGGAAATTGTTTGCCTTCCCTGAATGTCGCGAATATTTTCACGATAGTAAGCGTTGTGTAATAAGTTTCAACATAGTAAATAATATGTCGTATATTCCCCGTTCTCGGCGTGAAATTTTTGAAACTAGATTATACATTTAGATGTCGTATATTCCCCGTTCTCGGCGTGACATTTTTAAAACTAGATTATACATTTAGATGTCGTATATTCCTCGTTCTCGGCGTGACATTTTTAAAACTAGATTATACATTTAGATAATGGCAATATTTTATCTCCTTCCCGAAAACAGGTAATAATCCTTAAAATTAACGTTAAATCTTCAGAAGCGGATGATAAATATAAAAACTTTTTTGACTTTTCACTTTTTCATAGTTAAGTGCTCTTACAAAGCTTGCCTACAGAAAAACAATATTAATATTCACGAAAAGTACAGGACAGATGTTTTGTTTTTTCTAAAAGGATTTGTCTCTTCATGTAACCAAGAAGACTGGTATCCTGTTTAGTTTTTTTTAATAGGATTTTTCTCTTGATGTAACCAAGGAGACTGGTCTCCTGTTTAGTTTTGTTTTCTAATAGGATTTGTCTCGTGATGTAACCAAGGAGACTGGTCTCCTGTTTAGTTTTGTTTTTCTAATAGGATTTGTCACTTGATGTAACCAAAAAGACTGGTTTCTTGTTTAGTTTAGGTTTTTCTAATAGGATTTGTCTCTTGATGTAACCAAGGAGACTAGTCTCCTGTTTAGTTTTTTCTAATAGGATTTGTCTCTTGATGTAACCAAGAAGACTGGTCTTCTGTTTAGTTTTGTTTTTTCTAAAAGGATTTGTCTCTTGATGTAACCAAGGAGACTGGCCTCCTGTTTAGTTTTGTTTTTCTAAAAGGATTTGTCTCTTGATGTAACTAAGAAGACTGGTCTCCTGTTAAGTTTAGTTTTTTCTAATAGGATTTGTCATATGATGTAATCAAAAATACTGGTGTCTTGTTTAGTTTAGGTTTTTCTAATAGGATTCGTCTCTTGATGTAACCAAGAAGACTGGTCTTCTGTTTAGTTTAGGTTTTTCTAACAGGATTTGTCTCTTGATGTTACCAAGAAGACTGGTCTTCTGTTTAGTTTAGGTTTTTCTAATAGGATTTGTCTCTTGATGTTACCAAGGAGACTGTTTTCCTGTTTAGTTTTGTTTTTTCTAAATGGATTTGTCTCTTGATGTAACCAAGGAGATTGGTCTCCTGTTTAGTTTTGTTTTGCTAAATGGGTGAACAGCTATCTTCAACAACCTTACAAGATTAAAGATAGGGAGGGGTAAAATACATTAAAATTACAAAAGTATGATTTTGATTTGAAGTTACTTTATTTATAACACAGCATGTACACTCGTGGTCTACAGCAATTCGTTCACGCAAAGAAAAGTCACTCACAAAAGTATCCATGGAATCACGGTGAAAATCTTTAACAGTTCAGTTATTGTGATTTATATATTGCAACTATAGCTTGGTTTAAGACTTTTGCAACTTAAAATATAATATATTAAAACGTCACGAGAAACATTCTATTTGTTAAACTTCTTATAGCTAAACATGAAATTCTATTTCTAACATGAAGGAAACGGATTACTTTTGTTTCCGTGAATTATTAATATCAATGTATTTAAGTCATCCCGTCGGTGTTCACTCCACAGTAGGACCGCTTTATGATCGTTATCTGGTTAGGGGTCAACTTACCAGATTAATACTTTGTCCTGGAACGAGCAGTAAGGACGAAGGATTTGTTTGTTGTTTTTAGTCCAAGCCATCACAAGCTTTCCACTGAGTAACCAATGCTATTAACTTATTCATAAGTGAAAACTGCATGTGTTTAGAATACTTTATATAAGTATTAAGCAAGAACCTATGTAATGTCTTCTGAAAGATTCAATAGCGTCTACAGATGAACTGAGTGCAATACAGAACTAATTGTATTAACAATGAGCACTTTGAACAAATAACGTAAACATCAGTCGTAGCTACAAGGCTGATAGAAGTGTGAAGACTAACTGAAATAGCAGTAGTGAAATTTAACATCAGTAAAGAAGTTCATCTACTTCATAATGATATAAGATATATGAACTGTTAAGTAGCAGCAGAATTAGTGATCAGATTGTTTTTCAACATTGCAGAAGAAACATTTAACTTTCGTCGTGTGATTTATTCTTTCTCTCTAGCCTAATTCAATAATTCTCTTGTTGTAACCTATATTAATACTTATATATCTTTTATGTTTAGTCACCAAGTGAAACAATATATCAGTATTTAATCTTTATAATCCATTTAATTTGTTTGTTTGTAGTCAAACACAAAGCTACATAATGGGCTATCTGTGCTCCTCTCACCTCTGGTATTGAAACCCGGTTTCTAGCGATGTAAGTTTGTAGATATACCGCTGTGCCACTGGGGGTGGGGGGCAATCCATTTTAAAAAGACGAGCAAGAGTAACACGGAAAAGAAAGCCAATGGTTATGTTCACGGTTAGTTAGATGTTAACAAGCAGGCTTCCTCCACTTCCTCTTGTAGCAGAAAAGTGGCTAACCGTGTACACAGGCATTTTTTTCCAGACAGTAGATGTAATAATTAGTTGTGTCAACTGGTATGAGCGACATATGTAATCTATTTGGATCAAAATGTAAGAAGAGTGATCAGTGCAGAAGTCAAAGACAGAAAGCAATGTTTGTTGATTTGATTTCAATAAAACCTTCAAACTATCTTTTAACTGTGACCAAATTTAAAATTGCAATTAGTATCGATAAAAAGATTAAGGTGGCTATCTGTGGAGGTTAAGCTAAAAGTAAAGAAACACAGTCTAAATGTTTATAGAGTTACTTCCTTTCTAGCGTGAAATACGTGTAGTCATTTTGCATCATAATAAATGTTTAAAAAGTGATTTAACTAGGATCAAGAATAGAATATACCCTAAGCTACGTCCACTACGTCTTATGGTACTTTACTTTGGAGAGAGTTGTTAAGTTACAGTGATTTGACCCAAATCTCAGCCAGGAGATTATAACAGTTATGTTGAGGTCAAATTTGTCTCTTACTCTGAAAGTTTACAATTTGTGTGTCTTCAAAACAAAATTATTTCAGTATTAAAAAACAATCAGGATGTAGCAATGTACTCCCTGTAAGGCACTTTCCTGACCACGTGCGTATGGTGCAACATATAGAGCTGTGAGATTATGTACACACACACACACAAAATGTTTCCAGTCATTAGTTTCGAAAACTCGTATATATATATATAATATTTTAATTTAAATCAACTGAAATTTTTAAATTAAACTGACGTAAAATCACGGAGCTATCCTTACAGATAAATAATTTGTGTTTGAGATTTGAGAAACACTTACTCTTAACTTAAAATGATGGTATTGTTTGGTAGACGTATTAGGCTTGTCAGTAATTTACAACAGCTACATAAAGGTGTTCTTGTACTTTTCAATAGAGTTGCCAAAACTCTCAGTTGTTTTGTTCACAGCTTTCGTAATTATTAAATAAAATATCTGATAATGTCTGGAGTTCCAAGCTAATCACCAAAACAAAATGCTTAATATAATATCACCAAACAGGAACATGATATCATCATTCAAGAATAGGCTGAGTTACAGGACTTAGCCACAAAGAAACAGTCTGGTTTATAGAATATCATCAAACAGAAACAGGATATCGCCACACAGGATTACAGGATGTCGCCACAAAGAAACTGGGTATATTTGAGGATATCATCGCAGAGAAAGTCTCGAAGGTTAACATTATTTGTTTTTAGAAAAGCAACAATGAAATAACTGCTTCACCTTTTCCCTAACCTGTAAAGAAATAGGAACATATTTTATGATTCATTAAAAATTCAAAACAAGAAAACGTTATTTTCAAACTAGAAAAACAAGCGCTCCCCATCTACTAGTATTATCATTATAGGACCATTGTGATAGTGAAAATCATTTCATTTGGCACTAAGATTACTCATAACTAACTTTTAAAAAAGAAGAATAGAATCATTAATTATAACAATAACTTTTTCAGTCATTATCATACTTTGGCATATTTTAGAACAGTTTTTCGCTATTAACAATAAGATAAAAACTATAAAATTGTCAGAAAGAATTTTTCAGATAAATAATTATTAAAATATTCAAAACAATGTTATCTGTATATTTAACACTTTATACTTGTGTTGAAGCACACTAATGTCAGTAAAACGAAGTAATCAGAATCACAATGTCAAAGAGAAGGAAACCGAAATTTGTTTGTTTATTTATTCATTGTTAAGCAGAAAGCTACACAATGGGCTATTTGACTATACCCACTACGGGTATTGATACCTAGTTTTTAGCGTTATAAACCTTCAGATTTACTGTTGAGTAACCTTCTCTCATGACTTGATACAAGAAATATGATTAGGAAGAATTTTACTTGTTAATGATGATAACATGTTTTTAACTAAAGTAAATGATGTAGTGAGAAGTTGAAGAACGCTCGGATTAGTTTTATTTTCCATATAAGAAAAATATGATCAAGTAAAATTTTAGTTAATTAAAGTAAGGTTGATGTGAGCAGAGAAAATATTTAAGGAATTAAACTGATCAGGCAGTTTTCGTCATCTGGTGAACAGATTTTTATGGATACTTTTTACAAGTAGATGTTGGGGAAAAGTTCTAATTAAAGTAGACATTTTTTAACTGAAGCTTCAAAACACGAAAACTGAATATTTGTTATGAAAAATTATTTGTGTAAATCAAAATTAATGGACAAGAGGGGGTTATTGTCGCTAACTGAAAAACTATAATTAGATGAAGTACAGTCCTGAACAAAGAATATGGTTGATGTACTCTTTGAATGTACCCACTGCGGATATCGTCTATTAGGATAACATGATTAATACATATCAGTCGACATATAGAAGAAAATGCATACAAGTATATGTATGTTGTGTTGACGTCTATTAAAATTTCAACTACGTAGAATCAAGAAGTGTAAATAACTTCAGGTTTTAAATAATTCAACACTATACAAACTATAGATTCAAATAATATCATTTTTGGTCAAAAAGTATGTCATGCAAATTCAAAAATTTTGTACTTGCTTTTCAGTGATGTGACACGTAGTATCCTTTAAATAAGCATTTTAATACAACATGTCGATTTTTTAATATGGAATGCAGAAACTGATTTAATATGACAAGTAGAATTTTCAATATGGTAAGCAGAGACTGATTTAATGTACTATGTAGATTTTTTGATATAGTATGCAAAAATTGATTTAATTAATATGGCAAGCACATTTTTTTAATGTGGTATACAGAAGTTGATTGAATATCATATGGATATTTTTAATATGGCATGCAGAGGTTGATTTAATACGACATGTAGCTTCTTCAATATGGTAGGGAGAGATTGATTTGATATGACATGTAGATTTTTAATATAGCATCTAGAATCATATTAAGTCAATCTCTGCATATCATATTAAAAATGTATATGTCATATTAAATCAGTCTCTCCATACCGTATTAAAAAATCTACATATCGTATTAAATCAGTCTCTGCATACCGTATTAAAAAATCTACATATCCTATTAAATCAGTCTCTCCATACCGTATTAAAAAATCTACATATCGTATTAAATCAGTCTCTGCATACCATATTAAAAAAACATTTTTAATATGATATGCAGAGATTGATTTAATATGATGTATATACATTTTTAATATGATATGCAGAGATTGATTTAATATGGCATATACATTTTTAATATGATATGCAGAGACTGATTTAATATGATGTACATTTTTAATATGATATGCAGAGACTGATTTAATATGGCATGTACATTTTTAATATGATATGCAGAGATTGATTTAATATGGCATATACATTTTTAATATGATATGCAGAGATTGATTTAATATGGCATGTATATTTTTAATATGATATGCAGAGATTGATTTAATATGGCATATACATTTTTAATATGATATGCAGAGACTGATTTAATATGATGTACATTTTTAATATGATATGCAGAGATTGATTTAATATGATGTACATTTTTAATATGATATGCAGAGATTGATTTAATATGATGTATATTTTTAATACGATATGTACATTTTTAAATATGGTATGCAGGAATTGATTTAATACCATATGTACATTTGTGAAATATTGTATGCAGTAAATTTACATAATATGATACATAGAGTTATGCAGCATAACAAGTAGACTTATATAATGTGACATGCAAGTTTATGCAATGTAGCGAATAGATTTATGTAATATAAAGAACAGATTTATGTACACGAAACAAGTAAAGTTGTGTAATGTAACAAGTAGATTTATATAATATGAAGTACATTTAGGCAGTGTAACAAGTAAAGTTGTGTAATGTAACAAGTAGATTTATATAATATGAAGTACATTTAGGCAGTGTAACAAGTAAAGTTATGTAATGTAACAAGTACATTTATGCAATGAAAATAATAAATGTATGTACAAGAAACAAGCAGAATTGTGTATGTAACAAGTAGATTTTTAGTAGGTAGGTAAACAATGAATTATAAGTAAAAAAATTTATTGATGGTGGAACATACTACATGTTTCGACAGAACATTGGTTTGTCTTCTTCAGGTATTCAATAAAATTTTTACTTACGTTTATAAATCGTTGTTTGCCTACCCATTATTACATTAGCATAAGGTGCTTCCTTACTGAAGTAGATTTATGTAATATGAAAAATCAGTTAATGCAATGCAGGGTTTTGCAAATGTTTCCTTATCACAACTTGCAGTATTCTATACTTACGAAATTTATAACACCAGAGACTAAATATGTCAATAAACGAACATAACTATCTGTTTAGATGTGTCCAGTTGTTGAGCGATGTTTTTCAAGCACAAAATCAAGTTGTTTTTGATTGACAGTCAGGTTTGATTCTTATATTTAAACAAATGTCTAGAGCTATTCCAGTTGTTGAAGTAACGTCTATGAAGCATAAAATCAAGTTGTTTCCAAGTGACAACCAGTTTCGGTGTTTGCTTTCAAACGAACGTGCCATATTACAGAAGGAATGTTGACTATAATTCTGAAATTACTAAGTGTGTCTACACGAAATTTGACAAGCTTGTAATCAAATGTACAAAAGTATTTGTGACATGTCTGTGAATTGACAACATCAGTCTAACACAGATTCTGTCAAATCGAAATGCAGATTAATGTTCATATGAAGAATAAAAATATTTTGGTCCAATGTACAGTTTGAATATTGCATCTATCATCTCCAAAATACATATCTACAATTTTTCAGTATCTCAGCGTATTTTAACTGGTATTTACTCTCCTCTACCACTAACTGTTGCTAAATTAAAAATGTAAGGTAAAATAAATGGTTAATACTTATAACATTAAATATATACTACCATATTGAATGACACTCTGTAAAAGGTCGTGGCTGCACACTTTGATCCTATATGTGCATATAGGATTAATAGGTACCATTCTTGAAAACCCTGACATATAATATTAAAGAAATTACAGAATTACTTCATACTACCAGTTACAATGCTCAGTATTGTAGTCGCTTGTGTAAAGACCCCCGTAATAATACTTCTTTTATTTTGTAGAAAGTTTAGGTGGGTTACAGATCTCTGAAATGTATGTTGATCTAATCAACACATTACTTCTATGTGGCATGCTAGATGGGTTAAAATGAATACCTCTTGGTTTCCAAGCGAATGAAGAATGAAAATAGCAAAACCAATTACAGCATTAATGATAGCAAAAGTGCTGTAAAGACCAATATTCTGCTCATAGTCTGACAGCATTCCCAAAATCCAAGAGGAGAGTATTAATGGCATCAAGATCAAATTAGATCTCTGATGGATCCTAGAAAAAACAACAACAACAGTGTATATTAAAATATCATTCTCTAAATCTATAAGTGACTAAAAGCGTTGTATGATATTGTTTCTATGTCATTAAAATGGCCTTAATTGACTAAAAGCGTTGTATGATATTGTTTATATGTCATTAAAATGGCCTTAATTGACTAAAAGCGTTGTATGATATTGTTTCTATGTCATTAAAATGGCCTTAATTGACTAAAAGCGTCGTATGATATTGTTTCTATGTCATTAAAATGTCCTTGCTACTTACAATTGGGACACCAATGAATATATGGGAGTCCTCCAAATAAAATTAACTTGAAGCAACACCAAAAAGAAGAAAAGTTGGTGGACTGGAAGTTATTAACATAGATAATAGTTTATTTGAAGTAGCAAAATATAGATTTTACTGGTAGTTACCGGAGGATGTTTAACAAAATCCTGATCTATTAGAAGCTACTTAAAATTAATTTAATGATGCTTATTAAAAAACTTCAAATAAAATTCTAATAGCGATAATATTGACACAATATGTTTTATATTACTAATGGTTTCCGATAAACCTTTGGATAATATAAAAATTAAAGGATTAGAAGGAGAGAGAGAGAGAATTTACTTTTATATAACATACACTTTCGTACCCTAAACGCCCCACATGCTAAATTAACCTTCATAGTTTGTCTATGCTTGTTAAGCTGACGAAACCTCTGTTCTGTTCTTCTAATACATTTCCATTTTTTGCTAAGATTTTAAACTTTGAAATTCATCTTTCAGATCCAACTTATCACTTCTGCTCTGAAAACCGGCAGTGTACATTCTTTTTTATCCAGCATGAAACCGGTTAAACAATAGATTCCTAAGCCAGTTTATAAAACCAGAAGTTAGCTTTATAAGAGTCAATAAGAACGTACAAATATTCTAGAATTGATACTTTAACTGATATTACTCTCAACCTGCACTGAATATCTAGGTTTGAGAACGTTTTAAGACTTAACAATTAGTTTTGGTGATGTTCTAAGACTTAATAATTAGTTTTGGTGATGTTTTAATATTAATATGTAAATATTTTCCCATAACATGTTAAGTAAAATGTCTGTGGTCATTTAACGGTCTTGACATCAGACAGGCAGTAGCATTGTCTACGTAGGGATGGCTAAGATTGTTCATTGAAGTGGTATTTTAAATATATCCTCAACAGATTATCAGAACTTAACAATACTATACAGTGTTTCCTTTTATAATAATATCTATGTAATGACTGAGCCACAAGTTCTGGAAATGTCTGGAAATATCTTAGCAAAGAGTTTTAATTTTTTGCTCTTCTTTCTTTTACTTCCTTTTTATTACATGATAACTCAAAAACCAATTTCACTAAGGTGACACAGTCTCGAACGGAGTATCCGCTTTCATAAGTATTATTAATAAATAATAATAATTAAAAAGTCATAATTCTAGTGTAAACGATGTTATCATTACCCTTTGAAGTTAGCTTTCTTACAGAAATTTGGTGTTCCTTTAAAAAATTTAAGTACAGGGTGAAACAGGAATTACCAGCTAATAATAGATAAATTACGAATATTACAGTTGGAACCTCACTGTACTTAGAACTTGGTTATAAATACAACCTTTCTAAGTCTATTGAAATACTACATTAAAAAACAAGTAAACAAATAAATAAAAAACTTTTCAAAAAAGGAAATAAGTTTAGGGATGGCTAATATCAGTCCTTCAAAAACAAAGCAAACAAGATAGTAGGGACGGCATTTGTATCATCCACAGGCAAGAATTAACATATAGCAATATATATATAACTATTCAATCACAACTGAGTTTAATTTATCATATTTTTGTCTCTTAACATTCTACTATACTATGTGCCTGTGCTATTATGCAAGGATGATGCAAATGTCATCCCTGCTATCTTGTTTACGTTGTTTTCGAAGGATTGATATTAACAATCACTATATTTACTTCCTTTTTGAAAAGTTTTTTCTTTACTTGTAATAAGATACGTATTTATTTTTTTACAGTTTCATTCCAAAGATATGCCCACAATATTTTTGTATTGAAAAGCCATAAACGCATGTATAAACATTTTATCAATGCTAAATAGCTTAAAAGCTACGTTGATAAATCGCAGTTACAAAGCCGAACTAAGTTTCAGTCGTTGAGCCCAAAATTATTAGAACAACTAAGCAATAGAAGTTTGATTACTTACCGAGCACTGAAAAGTTGTCTGCCATCATACGCCTTTAATGGTTTGTAGTCAGAAGCACCCGCAGCTTCTAACAGGATGAGGTTCAAAAGACAGATGCAGCACACGGGACCGTATTGGAGGTAAACCAGAGGCTTGTCCATCTGTAGCCAGCAACTGGGCAGTGGAGAAAGTTATAAGATCTAAACAGTGTCTAAAGTAGTTCTTGTTGATAATTATTATGTCATGTGTAAAGTAGCTTGGATAGTTGGCCGATTGGGAGGTTTTAAATAACACAATATCACTAAGAACGATATTCAGAAAAAGGAAATACTGAATTTCTTGGAGTATGGCAAATATCAGCGTTCAGTTAAGCCTACTTTCTAAAAAATAGTTTCCTCTTCTAAACTATAATACTTTCGTCTATAGTTGTAAATTGTTGTATTTTAGGTGAACAAATAATCTTAATGATGTTCTACACAAAAATATTTCACAATCTACCTATAATGCCTGTTTTTACATTAAATGGTTACCTGAAATAACTAAAAAAGGTGAAATATGTCGGATACACAGACGCAATAACTTTATTTAAAGATTGTTGTTATTCAAATACCAAACAAGTAAGATTAGTAAAAAACGATTTTGTACATTATAAGGCTTGTCCCTTTTTACAGTTTCCAAAACAAATTTTAAAAAATATCATCCAGATGTTTATTGATTTTTTTCTAGTTTTAGTGAAAATCTTAATAGGATACTGGTGAATACTCTAGACACAGTCTGAATTTTTGTAATAGCCTGTTTATGCTTTCATGTAATATAATTTATAGTATTTGTTTGGTTGTTATTAAACACAATGGGCTATCTGTTCTCTGTTCATCACGACAATCAAAACCTGATTTTTAGCGCTATAATCTCTCAGACTTATCGTTGAGCCAACTTGTATTAACATTTAAGTTTTTATAACCGCCGTACGAGAAAATATAAACATATGGCATCTGTGAATCATAATGAATATAGCTATGCCTAATATTTCTGTAATTCTAAATAACATGTCATCCATGATAGCTGTTATGAGATTACTTTGTTTTTACTATATCTTTGAAAAGAATAACTGTGTAACTGACAAAGAGAACATTTTATAATAAGCATTGCTACAAGTAAGATTTAGAACAAATACACACTTAAACAGATGTGAAAAAAATTTAATTGTATTAATGCATTTTAATGAGTCAAAAATAATGTGTATATCTTTGCAAAGTACAAATATGGATATACCTTTTCTGCGTATTTAAATAAAATTTAAATATAATGTAACATCAACTGATTATTGCAATTTAGCCACTCCATTCCAAGTACTTACTGATATTCACTACCATAGTCTTCCAAGAAAAAACTGATGGAACCCACAGTAACCAAGGCAGGGACACCTGAAACAATATTTTAAATATGTGACTAGAACATTTTTATATAAATCATTGACAAACTAAGTAAAATATTAGCCTAATTTTATATTTGAACAACAACAACAACACTAGTGTTATTTTTTGATAAAAGCATCAAATAAGTTTTGTTGCATAGAGGATTATTTGTATAATATGGTGAGAAAATTATAAAGATGCAAACTTTTCATTCGTACTTATATTCAACACCTATCTACCGTCTTGTAACGTGATTTGGTAAAATAAGTATCTGACAGAGAGCGCTAAAACTCATAAACTTCAGTTACTAGCCAGATTCACAAATAATTCTACTTCTGCTATATGATAAACGTTTTACCCAAGCTCACGTTAGTAGTTTATTATACCATAAAAAGAATGCCTAAAAATGTCATGATTTTTCATTATTACACTGCTTTGCATCTACTCTGGAACATGAAAATTGAACAAGATTTATAGCTTAGCATATTTGTAACTGATTTCCTGCGAGTGTGGAATAGAAATATTCTCTTTAAAAAAGGCTGTGAAACCACTTTTCGTGTTTAATGACACATGTATGATGTGTTGTTATGATGTTAGGTAACCATATATTCAATTGTGCCACGTAATACTCCAATTTATGAAGGTAACAATAAGAAATGGGAACAGCTTGATGTGGGGTTAGATGAATAAAAGATAAGATATTATGTATTACACGAGATTTTTTTATTTAACTGTGAATCATTATCATTGCCTTGTTGTGGCTCTTTAGTCTGTGTTAGTTACAGTGGCAAAGACCGTGATAGCAAAAATGCTAGTTAGAGCCAAATTGTGTCTACTCCATTGGATCTCGTTTCTTACACGCCCAAAATAAGTTGAGGAGAAACAGTTACATAGATATGAATAACATTTCATATAATGAGATAAGGAAGAACTTGAGAAAGTGGACCCATATTACTTCACTTTCTTCCACTGCAAACAGATGTTTTGCCTACAATGTCTTCCTACAAATATCTCAGATTTCTGTCCCCCTTTAAACAAACATCCACCCTCGTCTCTGTTTCCACCAGTGGCAATTTCTGTTTCTCTTTATGGATAAACAAATATCCACCCCTGTGTCTGTTTCTACCATTGATATCACAGAATGACTGGATCTAGTCCTATTGGCCTCACTTTGTTTCGCACTCACTCACTGGAACCTTAGGTATTTAATGAAGACCTGCACATTCCATCTAATAGACCTACCATGGAGAATAATGAAAATATTATCATAAATCAAATTTACATAAAATCTATTTAAACAGATGTCTTAAACGTTATGTGTGTAAATGGTTATAAATATACAATAGAATTGGCAAGGGTTTTGTACTGATATGGATGATATTATCGTAATTTTCCGTTCCAATTATCACGAACAAAAGTCAAATTTTCTTTATCACCAATAGTAATACACACCTAGATTTATGCGATTCAACGGTCAAAGTAACCTTTTGATGACAAGAATGTTAGACTGCCCATATAATCTTTAACTGCGCATTCGCTGTAGTGCTTGCTATGTCTGCAATAATGGCTGGAAAATAAAACATTCTCACAAACCAATTTGCAGCTGATGTTCATTAGTTATGGCCTTCTGTAACAGCTTTTCTACAGCGGGGTAAGTGTTCTGAAATATTTCCTCCTTGCGCGTACGCAAAAATGGCAGTTTTGATTTCATAAGACAAATGTAAAAATATACCATGAAATCAAAGCCTATCACAACAAAGCCGGATTTGCTGTTTACGGTCAAGTAATGACACTTAGTTCAATGCTTAAAGAAGACGGGCTGTTTTAAGATTTAAGAATACATGTAACAACTTATGACAAAAATTATTTTAATTACCAGGTGGACATGACAAGTGGAACTTTATTTTTTAAGTTTATGTCCCCGTAAACAAATGAGATTAAAGGCTGTAAAAATTGTGCTTTGCTTGATTAATATCTATATTATAACGATTAATAGCAGTATAAAGGTGTCGTGAGCTACACATTTCAACCGTTAGGATGGCAGCAAAATGAGCAAGCTACACGGCAGCTTTCACACTTAAGGTGACAGAAATTGCTGAAAACCATGGTAACAGGGCGGTGGCATGGAAATCTGATGTCAACGAGGCAAATTTTTCAGTGAAAGTCAAAGGACAAGCTGAAGTCCCAAAGTAAGCAAGCAAAGGCTCTTGGACGTGAAAGTCTCAACACTTACAGCTTGAGCAACAACTTCTGGAATATATTCACCAATGTCGAGCATGTGGGTATGCAGTCAGCACCACGGAACTTCATTTGAAAGCCTTTCATATCACGAAAGGTTTGGATTCTAGTAGCAACTTTAAAGCACCTGCAAAGTGGTGCTACCTCTTCATGCAAAGACATGGCATATCCATAAATTGAAGCACTTCAACTGCACAACATGTGCCTAATGACTTTGAAGACAAACTCTGTGAGTACTAGCATTACGTCATAAGGATGTAAAAGAAACACCACTATATCATTTCTCATATTGCTACCACGTATCAGACACTCTTCACCTTTGAGATCCCATTCAGTCAAAACATGGGTATCAAAGAAGAAAAATCAATAACAGTAAAATCAACTGTCAACGAGAAGAATCGCTTCACTTTAGGGGCATAGGGAGATGGGATAAATATGCTGCCATATATTATATTCAAAGGAAAAACTCTCCCAAAGAATGTCACATGGCTACAGGGTAAGATCATCTGTACGCGTAGAAAAGGCTGGGTGGATGAAGGTTTGACCAAAATTGGTTACATAGCATTTGATGCATAGGCTCCTTTCTGGAATGTCGTATGCTGGTCCTCGAAGCTTTGAGTTTTCAAAGAATGACGTGCATCAATTGTATCATGCATTGAAAATGTAATAAGTGGCTCTACTCTGGAGAATATGCATTTACACTATCAGGTAACCAGAAGAAACCAGACTTACTACTCATTGCCCAATGGATAAAAAAAACTCTGTGATGCCATTGATCCAGTCTTACTTCAGCGTGACTTTCACAATTGTTGCCTCACAAATGGGTAGCTCAGAAGAGACATCCTTTGGGATGAAGCTGCTGCTGCAGTAGATAACAAAGATTAAAACGATATACATGGTGATGCCATTTATGGTGACAACGAGACCGTAGAGAAGTTGCGCCTACTATTCGAGGACAGTGATTTAAAATCAGAAATGAGCTGTAGTTTTGTATATAAAACGTAAAGTAACGATAACTAGTTTTGTATTTCCAAACATTTCTAAGTGTGCATGTAAATAAATCTTAAAAATCACAAGGCTTAGCTTCTTGATAATTTCATTTCAAAAATCATGTTTAAAGACGCATAAATTGAATGAAAACGAAAGACAATTCTCATTTATGCCTTGAAACCAGAAATAATTAATAAGACATGCCATCAAAACACAATATTTCTAGTAGATTTGCATTATTGTTCTTAATGCTTGTCAAAAAAGGTGATTTGGACTGGCTCTAAAAAGAAAAAAGTGTAGATTTGTTACCATATATTATATGCACCCTAACTTCTAGATAAAGTTGTAGTGAAAAGAATGAGTATTATATTCGGAAAATGAAGGTAAGACCTTGGTCAATTCATATTACCCTATATGTCTTTCTTTGTAAGAAACATTTCTGAAACCTTCTGATAGATTTCACAATTTCAAAGTTTTCTTTAATAAGAAGAAACAGTTTATGTAATAGGCACGTACATGTGAGGTTATCAATACTGTTTGACCAACATACTTTATGTTTTTTTTTACCCATCACCAGTAGTAGACATTAATTAAACAAACCTTAATAATTTCACTAAGCAGCTTCTGTTTTCTTTTACCACAGCCATTCTGTATTATATACACAAGAGGCAGATTTATGGAGCATCTTCTCAATGATCATAACTTATCTCTGCTGAACACCAGAAATTCCATCTATCTTCATGCTCCCTGTTAGGCTTTTACTAGCATTAATCTGCCAGTTTACTGTTCTCCTTATCTCTTTACTTCATTTATTGGGTAGTGGATGATTATTCACAATGCAATGGTCACTTTTCCATCATTTTAAGAGCCCAATGGCGTCAGTTGTTGCCATCTGATTCATGTGCACAGTGAAAGACTGAGAAAGCCCTCTGAAGTGTATCATCTTTCAATAACTGTGTGGAAGGTCTGACAAACCACATTATCTGTGCAGTTGCATTAATTATCCATAAATCGTCGACATTTTTTTCTATTGTATCATCATTTATGATGAACCCCTGAAAGCCAGGAAGCAAAGCACACTCAGGAAAGTAAGATTTTGGGGTATCTTCTTTAGATATTGTACTCATATCAACCTTGTAGTCTTTGAAAAGTTTGAATCTGGGCCCAGAAGCTCGTATGTCAAAGCCAAAGAGAATCTTCAATCAGGCCCTCTTTTATTACCAGTGTAACAGGCATATGGCACAGAACCTAGCTGCTGCTACTAGCCTGTGTAGGGTATGGAATGTAAGGCTCCCCTCCCCTTTGTATAACCTTGAGGTAGCACCCTAGGCAAGTACCAGAAACCCCGGAGCACTCTTCCTCCCAAACCAGGGATATGGTGAAACCATTGACGAAGCAGGATGGTGAATTACATTTTCTGCTGAAAGCTTGGTTTAACTGAGTAAACAACAGAAAAGACGTGCTGTAATTAGTTTGAGCACTGCAATCGGCAGGATCAGTGCTGTTAGTTATGTACAGCCACTGGTCTAGGATACAATCACTCTGAATTAAAACCCAGATTGTTCTCCCACCAACTGTCCTGCCATAGTATTCCTTAGACCTGAGAAGCTCAATTTGAGGGTGCATCTACAACTCGTACCTATTCCTGCACTTTAAGCAGAAACAAAGGCTTGGAATGGGGAGAAAGACCTGTGGCAATGGGTGGCCGATGGTAATGACAGGCTTGAGGAGCTGGGGATCATTAATCGGTCATCTGCATGTAAGTGGTTGGAATGAGATGAGCATGAATTGACGAAACAGTTTTAATAAAGCAAGGTTCTGTTTAAGTGACCAGACAGCCCTATTAAGGAATGGTTCTGCCTGCCATGGAAAGGGATGCTCTGATAAAAAAGGGGTAAACATAGTCTACTCAACTCATCCTGGATGGGCTACCACACCCAGTGGGCCTCAAGTTTTGTGGTCGAGTAATTATATGAAAAGAAAACTCAAACTTGCAAATTAGAAGGTCAGAAAGCTTTCAATGCACTGCTCTAGTTGATAAGGAACTGTATAGATATAGTATCGACATAGCTGTGCTCCAAAAAACATGGTTCAAAGAAACAGGGGAACTTCAGGAAAAGAACTATATCTTCCTTTGGCCCAGCATGGGTGACAAAGGGAGAAGCAATGCAGGAGTAGGATTTGTAAAAACCAATCATATAGTCAAACAAGTAGAATCGTTTCCTGCTTGTATCTCTGAAAGGCTGATGAAGTTGCAACTCCCGCCTGTCCAAAAACAACTTCATCACCATTGTATCAGCTTATGCATCAGCAATGACAAACGAATCTCACATAAAGTTCTATCTGACCCCAAGGAACCTCTTGGATTTGGTTACTGGTAGTGAAAAACATTTAGTCCTTGGAGACTTCAATGCTCGTGTTGGTTTGGATCATCAAACTTGAAACCACATGTTAGGCCACTTGAGGAGAGGAAAATAAAGTCAAATGAGGAATTACTTTTTAGCTTCTGCACTGAACTAGATTTGGCAATAACAAACATATTTTTAAACTCTCTACAAAATGGTGTGTTCCCAGCGATGGACTATACTTCAGTATGTTCTAATACATAGGCAGGATCTTGCTGATGTTACGTCTACACGAGCCTTGTGTGGTGTGGACTGTGACATAGACCACGCACTTATGTGAACAATCTGCAGACTAAAAATCGCTCCCATTCGGTGCAAAAAACAGCGAGTTGCCTCTCAGAAACTGAACATAGCGAAATTATGGAATCCTTCTTGCAGAGAAGAACTCACGACGTAGAACTCTGAAGGTTTTGAAACAAATGAATCCCAAGCAGTTCAATCGATACCATGTAACCATTTCAAAACCATTGTATATGACACAGCTACTGCAGAAATTGGCTTCAACAATAAGGGACATGCCGACTAGTTCGACGAAAACAATGATAACATCCAAGAATTGTTAGCTAAGAAAAGGCAAGCTAGACAAGACTTATTAGATAGCATCACACTCACACTCAAAAACCCAATAAGCGATTGAAAGCAGGTAAAGCAAACCTCCAAAAACATCTGCACAAACTTCAAGATCAATAGTGGCTATAAAAGGCAGAGGAGATACAGTCTTTAGCTGAAAAACACGATACAAAAGGGTTTTGGACAATTTGAAGGTGGTATATGGACCAAAGTGTGATATAAACGTTCCGCTCAAGGGTCTTGATGTTTCTCAACTGCATACATACAAGATTGATATCTTGTATAGATGGAAAGAACATTTTGATTCATTGCTCAATAATACCTCAGAGATTCGTGATTCAGCCCTGCCTGGATCAGGTTCCACAATTACCAATCGAGGCAACAATCGATAACCCACCAACTCTGTAAGAAATTGTGAAAGCAATAAAAATTATTATATCTGGAAAAGCAACGGGCTTGGATAGTCTACCTGCCAATGTTTTCAAAAGTGAAAGATTAGTATTAAAACTAAAATTGTTGAACAATGTTGGCAGGCTGGAGAACTACTTCAGAAGTTCAAGGATACCCTAGTTGTAATAATGTACAAACTTAATGTGGGTCGACATGACTGTGAAATTACCGTAGTATTTTGCTCCTATAAATCTCAGGAAAAATTCTGACCAGAATTATACTTTGACAGTTACAAGCAATTTCCGAATGTATACTACCAGAAAACCAATGTAGTTTTCGAGCAAACAGAAGCACAACCAATATAGTTTCTCCTTGCGGTAAATTCAGAAAAATATATCGAACAAAACATGCAGCTGTATGATATGTTTGTCAATTTCACCAAAGCTCTTAATAGTGTAGGGGGAGAGAAGTGCTGTGGGCTCTGCTGTCTGGAGAAGTTTGTTGCAAATGTTCGCCAATTTCATTACGTAATGAATGGGCATGTATCACACGAGGATTCCACATCGGAAGCTTTCCCAATAGTACATGATGCAAACAAGGTTGTTTATTGGCTCCCACATTATTCACTCTGTTTCTATCTGCTATTCTGGATCACGTATCTGCTAATCTTGCCGAGAGAATTTACATCCGCACAAGAATAGACGGTGGTCTTTTCAATCTCGCAAGACTGAGGGCTGGTAATCATGGAATGTTATGTCTAAGGTACTCATAAATCTCCAAAACGAGACACTAGCTCAAGTGGCATGAAAAAACGTAGTAAGTGATTAAACCATAGACAACTATCTGACACAATGTCAGGAAGTATTAGACTTCAGCTCCTAGACTGTAGACTAAGAAACACTGAATAGAGGTTATCAAATAGCAGCCTAGATTTGAGAGAGACGAGATTGAATGTTTCAATTTTACAAATTTGCAGTGTAATGATAAATGTATTTCTAAGGCCGGTGTCTTTCCTAGTACAGGTACTATACAATTGAACCGAATTGAAGCCAGTAGACATCTCTTTTTTTTATACGGCGGATACAAGTTTATGGAGATCGCGGCAGAATCTAAGGTGACGCTATGGCTAGCCACAACAATCATTTGAACAAATGTGATTGTAGTCAACCTAGCTAATGGAATCTTGGGTTTGAATGTAATACAAAGATGGGAAAAGGAAATGTCTTATGCACTACTGGAATATTTACAGTTTAAGGCATAAAGATCCAATGCGAGTCTCAAAATATTTTAAATCACTGGAAGGTTAGATGATAGCTCAATGGAGTCTTAATGATACAAACTTTTAGCCAGCTCTAAGCATTTGGTACTTTATCAGTGTTACAGAATTAAGGAAAGCTAACTAATGCAACCAAAACCTACTGCTGAGTTTAAGCAGTGTATGGGCAAATTGCATATTCCATTTTTGAACAATAATGTACATGTTAAAATACACAGTTCCACTAATGCTTGAAAAAGAGCCCCTAAGTTTTGTCAGATAGAATGGGATGATGTCATTTGACGTAAGACTGCTTTCCCTATTAGCTTTTTGAATCCAGTAGTGCACTGACAATTTAACAGAAACTAAGGGAAATTGTTATATATTGACTCCAATTTGAACTTTTTTTTGAATTAAAGCCAGGACATATTTGACGTACTGATGTTTTCAATAACATTTAAGAACTTCAAACTCAAGCCCTCCTACTGTCCCACATAGAGGACATAGCTTGAGTTTTTGGGTCATACTGTTTTTGTTTTAGAGCAAAGCCACACTGACACTAACTGCTGTGTCCAACGCGAGAAATCGAACCCCGGTTTTAATCCGTAAACTTATCGCTGTCCCACCGAGGAACTTTTGGTCATATACTTGACTGAAATAGTAAATCTCCAGACCTGAACAATGTCTGATGTTTAGTCTCTAACACTCTGATATATGTGCTGAGATGGAAGGACACTACTAAACCCACTGTAGTCCCAAAGTGGGTAAAAAGTTGATGAATACAAATCGAAGAAAGTCCAAGAAGTGTTCTGTTGGGCTTATATTACCCCTATTTTTGTTTTTGTGGTAGTTAGTCTATTACACATGGCAGTAGGGCAAATAGGGTTATCCTAAATCAACACAAAGTCTAGTTTGATTACTCTCGTGAAAGTGAGTATAGTGAAGCCTGTTTGTCTATACTGTAGTGCATCTTCACACCATACTGCTAAGCCTGTTTGTCTATACTGTAGTGCATCTTCACACCATACTGCCATATTCAGTGATTAAAGATTAAGTCAAGAAACAATATTTTAACACTAATCCAATGTTCGTAGCAAGTATAAGGTCTGATAAAAAGTGATAATATCCTTTGAACCCAAACCAGACAGTGAATTCTTATTTTTGCCAAACAATCAAACAAACAATTGTATTTTTTCTTTTAAACTTGAATATTTATATAATTGCTTAAATTGTAATTTTGACAATAATATATATAATAAGGAATGTTCTATCTTACAGAAGCACATGCGCCGTTCCTGTTGTCGGTAAGAATTAAGCTAAAAATTATCTTAAAACACAGAGAAAACTGATGCATGTTCTATAGTTGGTTTCTTGATAACATTAAAATGCTATACCCAATAACTATTTATTCACACTGGACAAAAATTACACCCGAACCTACCCCATCCAATAATCATATTCTGAGCTCTACTTAGCATGCCGTTTTTTGGTACCACGTAAGCAACCATGCTGTACATGTGAAGAGCTTCCAGAAGAAGAAACATGAAACAGGCTGTGAAGAAGAAGTGAAGACAGATGGATAGTACTCGACAAAGGTCCTATAAAAGACATACAGTTTAAAATATGTAGTTCCAAGACTTCACTTTTCTATTAAAATCTGTCAGGACAAAAATAAATATACCTTCAAAATAAAACTTGATAAGCGATAAAAATTACCCTCACATAAAAATATATAAGGGATAAAAAATTATCTTTATATTAAAACTCAGTATTGGTTAACAAAGTAACATTAAATCATAGCATTTAGTTCTACTAATTGGCTTATAATAGAAGTCACTACGTTTTCATACTTAACAAATTTTAAGTAGGTCACTTAACAAAAAACGCTGAACACATGTTAATCGTCAAATAAATCAGTTTGTCACAATATTGTGACTAAAACCTACTAATCACCTGCCATGTCAGCTGATCACAACTGTGACTAACGCTGAACAAATGCCAATCATGAAATAAATCAGTTTATCATGTCATTGTGGCTAATGTGTACTAATCATTTTATTGTTTAGTAAATCCCCACTGCGAATTCTCCAGAACAATCGTTAAATAGATAAGGTTATCACACTAACAGCTATCATTCTCGTTATAGTTCAGTTTATCAGCACTCAGAGTGACACTGAACACAGTAACTTAGATAAGTCAGTTTATCAAATCACTGTGGCTAATGTGTACTAATCATTTTATTGTTTAGTAAATCCCCACTGCGAATTCTCCAGAACAATCGTTAAATAGATAAGGTTATCACACTAACAGCTATCATTCTCGTTATAGTTCAGTTTATCAGCACTCAGAGTGACACTGAACACAGTAACTTTCAGTTTATCAAATCAATCTTACTAACACTTACTAATAACATTATTAATCAGTTAATCACAACTGTAACTAACTCTGAACACACTGTCAGTCATTAGATAAAAACACCTACTAATAACTTTATTAATCAGTTAATCACAACTGTAACTAACTCTGAACACACTGTTAGTCATTAGATAAAAACACCTACTAATAACTTTATTAATCAGTTAATCACAACTGTAACTAACTCTGAACACACTGTCAGTCATTAGATAAAATTACAGAACCTTGTAATCCCATATTTAACATGTAAAACAAAGTCGTGACATTGTTGATAAATATATATATATATATATATATATATATATTGTTATCACCTCTGTTTTTATTTCAACAAAAGAAAAAACTTCAAAGTTCTAAATACACGCAAGAATCAAATATGGTTAAAATATATATTTATATATATACGTAAATTTCAACAAAATTTTGTAAATGCTTGTATACCTGAGAGATGTTTGTACTGATCTTCCACTTTAAGTACCAAGCTTTGTAAACATGCATTATGCTATCAAAGTTCACAATAATTCATATATAAGCACATGGATCGGACCTGATTTCTTATAGTTTTAAAAGATGATTTATTATCTTTTCTCAACATTAAATAGCAGATATTATATACTGTTATTCAAATTGAAAAATGAAAAGTAAGTCTTCAATTGCAGCAACTTTTACAGTAAGAATTTTTTTTTATGTTTATAACAAGCAGAAACACAGATATAGCGAAAATTTTCGTCACCAGGTTTATTTACACCAATAGACGTTTCGAAATATACAAATTTCATGATCAGCACACACACACAGAATATTTTTCTTAACATATGTCACCATGCCTGTTTTGGCGGGCACCGCTTGTCAAGGTTGATACCTTTGGTAACTTGCATGTTACTAAGATACATGAAGGCATTTAGATTAATACATGCAACAGTTATGTAACTTTTATGATAGCTGGATCGCAGCTTTTGGAGATAAGCTTTACTTCGGTCAAGTTATGATAACTTACTTTATTTTTTATTTTCATCATTAACTTCCTTCATGACATCATTATTTTCATTATTAACTTCCTTCATGACATCATTATTTTCATCATTAACTTCCTTCATGACATCATTATTTTCATTATTAACTTCCTTCATGACATCATTATTTTCATTATTAACTTCCTTCATGACATCATTATTTTCATTATTAACTTCCTTCATGACATCATTATTTTCATTAAAAACAAATGTTTTCCCACAACTTATACGTGAGACTCGCAAACAAAATTCACATCTAATACACGGCATATCCCTAAAATCACATCTAATACACGGCATGTCCCTAAAATCATATCTAATACACGGCATATCCCTAAAATCATATCTAATACACGGCATATCCCTAAAATCACATCTAATACACAGCATATCCCTAAAATCATATCTAATACACGGCATAGCCCTAAAATCATATCTAATACACGGCATATCCCTAAAATCACGTCTAATACATGGCATATCCCTAAAATCACATCTAATACACGGCATATCCCTACAATCACATCTAATACACGGCATATCCCCAAAATCACATCTAATACACGGCATATCCCTAAAATGATATCTAATACACGGCATATCCCTAAAATCATATCCAATACACGGCATATCCCTAAAATCATATCCAATACACAGCATATCCCTAAAATCACGTCTAATACATGGCATGTCCCTAAAATCATATCTAATACACGGCATGTCCCTAAAATCAT